AATTTTATAGATTGGTTTCTAAAAATAAAAAATAAATTATGTGCTCTAATTTATATTTTAAAAGTTTCTGCTAGCATATTAACATGTACACATCATCATTAATCATTAACATCGAGCCTATCTCTTCTTCTTTGATGAATTATATGGAATTATCATTGAACAAGCAATTCTTAATTTGGATATAAGTTCCACTTCAAATATGTCAGCAATCACTGTACAGTCTTATGTAACTTAGTGAATATGGACAATATTTACTCACAGAAGAGGCAAGGTTATGACTGTTATTTTTAGAACTAATATTATTTTCTTATTTTAACTACCCTAAATCTAACATTTACATTGTATATCCCAGGACATATTTTCCTAGGTCTGAGTATAACCTCCTGAAAGCTGTTCTCTAGGTAATTAGAAAGTGGCTATACTTCATGATGTAGAAGTATTTGGATCCATACTTCCTTTAATGCAAAACACACATAGTACATTCATTTATATATGCACGACAAAAATGAAAGTCAAAACTGAAAGTAAAATGAACATAATTTTAATGGTTGTTTTTTTTTAATTTTGTGCATTGGATTCAAACAGCAAACTGTGTGCACTCAACTGTTATCACAATGTTGTCAAGAGATCTGTGTCTTTTACCATTTTACACACAATTGTTCATTACAATGTTATCAGCCTTGTGGAAACCAGGGGTGTGGCATGGTAAGCAGTGGTGGTAGTGCACCTAGCTTTTATATTATCTAACTTGAAAATATTTCTCTTCTATGATTCCTTTTTTCTTGATAAAAATAGTTTTCACCAAACGTTGGTGGTGCACACGCACTACCATACATGCTTGACATCACACCCCTGACAGCAACACATGTTCTATTTTGTTGATAAAAAGTATTACAAAAATTTCCATACAAAAACTATTTTCATAGAAATCTTGCATTTCCACAAATAAACCTGAACATTTTTTTGAAAAAAAAACTGCTCAAGAATTTTGTTCATTTTACATTGTGACTGTACTGAGAAATGCAGTCCACTTCAAAGTTCTCTGCACAGACTTTTCTGTAGATGTCAAGTCCCCTTACTCTTTTCAGCAAGTTCTGCCCAGGCTCTGTCAAGTCAAGTTCATTTGTAACAGGAACAAGGGTTGGGATTGCTATATCTGAATCTCAGAATGAAAGCTTCAATCTTCAAAGTAACCATCAATACTGAGCCCTCATTTGCAATTTAAGACAAAGATTGCAAAAAAACATTCATTTAACTCAAAATCACTGAACCAACTGTTGCTTTTTTATTTCCTGTGTGGGATTAGGGAATGATTGTTGAGGGGATAGGTAGGGATCTGGTAGTGATGTTAAGTCTCCTGCCTTGGAGAATTTAAGAAAAAAATTTATTGCCTTGGTATTTTACATTTCTATCTCATTCAGTTACACAGACTATTAAGGAAAAAACAAAGAAAGAAAGAAAAATAACTGATGAAGATCTGCTTTATATTCCAATTGCCAAGGAATTCAGATGTATTTTGCATTACATTTTTTCACATTCTATAAACACATATTGTCTATTCAATGATAATTATACTCAGTAGATGGGGCTACTAACATTATTACCTCTTATCTGAGCGTTCAAAAGACTATACTGTTTCCCGTAAAACTACTTTTGGTTGATTTCAAGTATTTTTATTCTTAGTGATTTTTTTCCTTACTGATCACCCTGTTGGGTACTGTTATTCCATCTCCTGGCAACAGCTGGGCTTCGAAAGGAACCTGTAATTTCTCACTGGACTGCATTTGAAATCAGTCACAAAATGCTCATGTAACATTCACTCAGAAGAAGGGAGGAACGCATGATAAACAGTGTAACCCAGTGTAACTTGGTTGATCCATGATGCTTGTAAATCAAGTCTGATCATTGCAACTGCTTAGATCACAGAGTCTCTAGTTCATAGACACAGCGGCATGAGGTAACTCATTTTATTTTGCACAGGTTGCATATTTCCACAGGAAACATTCTCGCTAAATTGTTTGGAAAAAAGACGACAGTTTGTGCTTGGGTGTTTGTCTCCCAGCTTTATGCCATGGTTTCTTTACCTGGCAACCTTCTGTCATTAAAAGTGTGCATGTTGATAACTTCTTCTGTTTTCACAATAACTGGGGCCTGTGGCTTATGTTTTAGCCGACGCTGGCACTTCAGGGACATCCTCAGTTCCTCTACCATGGCACTACAGAAGGACCTCTGAAGAACAACACAGAAAAGTTAAATATTACAAACAGATAAACTCTAAGTGTTCACAAACAGTATTAAAACATTCTCAACAGACCTGTCAACAAAGCAGCCTTGAAGAAAGGTTTGAAAAATTTCATTATAAAAGTTTTAACAAATTATTACACTTTTAATACACAACTGATGATAACTAAAATATGCACTCAAAGTGGGCTAGTATATGAAAAAAAAACTAACACAAATGAATTTTCAACAAGAAATGTATATAATTGACATATATAGAGTACGAATTTCTGATGACACCATGTAAAACTGATTAGCAGAAGATAAAAATCTACATTAACATTTAAATACAGACATCTGTATCATAAATCCTTTTTTTTTTTTTTTACATGCATGATGTTTTATTCTTTGAAGAATGGTTCTAAAACATCACACTAAGGCCGAAAAACAAAGTTTGAGGTAAACAGTTTTGAGGATGAGTTATAACATATGTAATGCTTTTTCATTCTAAGGAATCCTGATCTTGGAGCTTATGATGTACCAGTGGTACATAAATCCTTTTTTGATGTTAAAAATTAATTTTAGAAGAAATATACTACTTTTGGGCAAGGGATTTAGCTCAGTGGCACTGTGCCTGCCTCGCAAGTGCAAGGTCTTGAGTTCGATGCCAATTACCAAAAAAATCCAAAAAGAAATATACTACTTTTTAGATCTCAAAATAAGTTACACAAATATCCTCTAAACATTGATTCTTCACTATGCATCCTAAAACAACAAAAAATATCACTCACAAGACATAAAATATGAAAACAATTTCTAGTGTTTTATTACATTTTTTGCTTAAACCAACATTGATATGATTAGAAACAAATATGATTTAACCATGAAATGACAAACTAACATGTTAAACATCTCTGAACAATTAAAAATTTTTTGTCATCCACTTGATAACTGAAGGCTGTAAATAATTTGTTTCATGAGGAAAAACAATTTACCATCTATTTTAAATTATCTTCTTAGTGACAGATTTTCTGAAACTTCTGTAAATCTGTGGATCATTCTTCCAGTTCACAATTCATATTACAGATATATATATATATATATATAAAACATTTTTTAAATTTTCTCTCCCTATCTGATTGTAATATATATGTATTGGATACGTATAAATCAGATTATGAACCAACTGTATATTACAGTTGAAACTCACACAGGCTGACATTTAGGTTTGGATCTTTCTGCAAAAGAAACAAAAATGTGAACAACAACCAAACATGTGGACAAGTCTAAAACTTTACACAACTCTAAAAAAGACATGAAAACGGGATGAAATAAACCAAATCAAACATTCATGTGAAGAATTTATTTGTTGGGTCAGGTGTTACTACTTCACTGTTGATCAATTTAGGCTGATGGCAACAGACTATAGGATGAAAATTTTTAATAAAATATGTACACCTGATGTCTTTTAAAAAGTATTTTATATAAACTCTTGTGACATTCAAAATAGCATTTCAAATTAATTAAGCCTCTATGTCATAAAAAGGTATCTCCAAGAGTGATTTCCTTCAGCTTATACCTGCAACTGTACTATATCCTGAGTCCAAATTTTGTCATTTAAGCACTGTTCTAGCATCTTTTTATTTACCCATGGCTATATCCTCATTTTTATTGACAGTTTTCTTGGAAAATTTACTTATTATTCTTCCTAACTATACGCAAACTTTACACCATCTGTAAGGCCTCACAGTTATCCGAATAACCTGTCTTTACATCAATCACTAATAGCATTTTCTTCTCTAAGAAACAGGTCAAATCCCTATCTCTTACTTTCTCCCATCGTCATTTCTCTTATTCTTCCGCTACTTGTCAGTTATCGTCCCTTCCTCCAGCCTCCTGTTCCTTTCTCTCCACACCACCTGCTGTGCTTGGATCTCCATGGCTTTTGTTTTTTGCTTCTCCTTGCTCTCTGGTGCCTTGTCAAGTTCTTTCACCCTTCACTGAACTCCAACTTTATCCCTACCTGAGGACGTGACTCAAGTTTTAGCCTACTTAGAAGGTCTTTTCACAGGTTCATTATTTTCACTCGATTTACCTTTATTCCCTAAGTGTTTTGTACTCATCAGCATGTTTTTTATCTGGCCTCTAGGTCATCTATGAATTATTCTTAGGGAATCATAAAGAACAAAGATCTAGGTGTCATGGCATTGGTGGCATACACATGTGCTCTTTAAATCTTGACCAAATAAATGATTAGCTGCACTTGACCCTAGTATTTTAAATTCTTATCTATCAATGTTTCTGATCCAGCTCCTTAAATGTTTTCATATTTAGAGTCTTAGCAAAACACAATATAAAACTTCAGCATTTTAAAAATAACATTGAATTAGTAAAAGTATTAATGCATTAGCACTTCTAATGGTGATGATTAAATGCTACTCATGAATTCCTTGTTAACTACAGAGTCATGGGAATGCATTATTTAATATGAGATAAATTATACATTTATGAATTCATGAATTATATTTCCATTAAAGATTTATATGGCACCTGGCAGTCAGTTTATGGACACAGTGTTTCTTGTTGCTTAATACCTACTATTAGTTGTATTTATTAAGAATATGATGATAATGATGATGAAGATGGTGATGATGACAACACTGGAGAAATGGAAAAATCTGACTCCAAAAGGGAGAGGAATACAAAGTCTTGAGGTAACTTAGTCTTGGGTCTCTGTTGAAACATTTAACAGAAGAATTGATTAGATAATATAACAAGATCAAAATTTGATCCCTTTGACACTTAAAAATGTTACAGGATGTGAATAATATTGAATTGTTTGAAATAAGCCAATGTTTAAAACCAATAAATTCCTAAATATTAACTAATTTATAAACCCTTCTTATGGCAATTTCAACTTTCAGAATTTGATTATATAGGCTTAAAAACAGACCAGAACAGATACATAAAGTTTTTGCCTGTACTACAATGGTAGAGTAACTGATTTTCTTAAGAAAAA